GTGCTACTTTTTATACTCTCCTCCTTTTCACTTTTTTTTCCTCCCCCACCATTCTAGCACTTAATTTTAGTTCCCTTCCATTTATGCTTGCCCATTACATACTGATATTATAGGTCACTGAGACTCTTCTAGGAGCTGAAATGTCTTAAACCATTTATACAGTTACTTGTCCAGAAGCCTCCCAAACAGCTTTTTCCTTTCTTGCTTGCTTTTTTTTTTTTTTTTTTTTTTTTGTAAACTGAAGTCAATTTTGCTAAGTGCAAGCAGCTCTCAGAGCTTGTTGTGGCAGAAATCCCCAGGGCTCCATTATATCTTCAAGTCTGTAAAACAGAAATTGCTCAGTCTTTTTGTAGAAATATACGATTAGTAGCTAATTCTTCCAGCTTTAAGCTCTTTGAATTTCACTCTCATAATTTCAGATCATAAAAAACCTGGTTATTTTATGAAAGTTCTTGTAGAACCTATTAAGAGATTTCTCATATTCAATCCAATCTTGTACAAAATCTTTATTGCACAAGTCTAGATCCTCAAATATTCTTCATGACTTGTTGCTATTCTACATCCAGCTTGGAGCTCCTGTGGTATCATATCAGAAGCATCTTAGTGAGCTGATCACCTCTTTCTCAATGTGCATATTTCCAAAAGGAACTGCACATCACAGTGCAGATGCAAGTTTTATACTCATTTTAAACGCAGAAAGGCTCTGAGGCAGACAGATTATGACTTGTTATGCAGGGACTTAATAGAACGTTGTCACAAACATCTCTGCTGCATTTATGCCACATAGGACATGGATTCCCTCTTACAGGACTGAAATGCTAACACTAGAAGCTCAAGATCAGCCTCTGTTCTCAAACATCACCAAGTTAACTTTTCTGCCTGGTAAATCAGGCACAGATCTCAGCTAGTTAGCATATCTCATCAGAAATCCTGTAATAATTCATGATAGCACAGCATTACTCAGTTATCTACCTAAGCCTGTGATTCAATTCAGATTTTTAAGCATGTATTTTTAAATTCAGAAGCCTTTTGCTTGAGTTAAGACATAGCATTTCCAAGATTTAATCGAGCACACTGTTTTAACACCTTACACATTTCAGTTCTGATAAATGACAGCAATGCCACAGATACAAGTACAAATGGTCTGTGTACTTGGTAATGTAATTCAGTTTTACTTTTAAGATGAATGAATTTTAGATAATCTGGTATGTTGTAAATAAACACAAATACAATGTTTAAAACTCAGTTCAATCACATCACCGCCTGCTGTCACAGAACTTAGCTAACTGGGGAACATGTCCTGCCAAGGGTTACAAAGCCACCTGCAACAAGTTATGGCTGATCTTTGATATTTCTCAGAAACAAACTCCACTTAAGTAGAAGCAGCATCAAGCACAGCACCTTTAATGTGTCAAGACTCTTGCATGTCAGATGACTTTCCTAGTAGAAGAGGCAAAGCTTCTGAAAGGAATAGAAAATCCCCTTCGCCAATGAAACACCCGTATTGTATTGTTTGTTCTCAGCACTTGAATAAGGCCAGATGCTTGAGGGAGGAGGAAGGGATGAAAAGATCCATCCTCCCTCCACCTATGAATTAGAGTAAATGCTCTGGGAGCAAACGCAAACTGAAGTATGGGTTTGAGTCAGTTGCTCTGTGTTGTGCTCATTTTAGACTTCGGAGTTATTTCTACCCAGCAGAGAGGCTGTGCTTCTAGCTGGAGACTGCATCAGCTCTCAACAGGACTGCCTCTTCTCCCAAGTCCCTTAGTCCCCTTGTGCTGGATACTACTGCAGGATGGCTTCAGAATTCAGAATGTTGTCTGTCTAGTATCAGCCAAGCATATATTGCAATCGCTACACTATGCATAGTGATTGTTGTACATTGTTGTACTTACTAAATCAAAATCCTTTATATTTGTTCAACTTCAGCTAAATGTCATTGACATCTGATGAATGTTTCATGCCCTCATACACAGAAGATGGCTCACTCATCTTCAGGTCTTCATACCCCACCTTTTTTTGAATTTTCACCTGGCCTCACATCAGTAAAAGGGACAAATAATCCATTGAGAAGGATTAGAAAGGCAGGCGTCCAGTCAGTGAACCAGCCCTGGCCAGACACACCAGCAACATAAGCCCTGGGCACATGGGTAGGAATGTCGACAGCAGAAAGACAAACTTGCTTTGCAAGTTATTTAAAAGTAAAGTCATTGCTTAGATGATCTGTTTTGCACAGAATGAGCTAATCTGGACAAAATCAAACATAAAAGGAGGACACATTTCATAACACAAACAAGTGGAAAGCTTCAAGCAGAAGGCTCTTGTTCAGCCTAATGCAGATGTCAGTTAATTAGAGTAGAAGGTTATATCATTAGTAGCCAAATCAATATAAAGGGAATTAAGAGCTCGGACAGCAAGCTTTTCTGCTTTCCAGCACAGCACCCGAGGCTGTATTTAGCTAAAATTCAATACACATTAGTGGACAATCAGTGCAGTCTTGTATGAAGATGTCTTCTTGAAATACTTTAATTGGACTCTAGTGTTATCAGTGCTAAACAAGATGTCAGACAAAGGTGGAAGCTTTCCCAAAGGGGGTTGGCAGCTCACAGTCTGGAGAAGCTGCATGTGCTTCTATTAAAATCTCACTGCATTTCCAATTTGTATTAATAGTACTATTTTCACAGTTATCTTAAGCAAGAGCAATGGAAAAGCATCCTTCCATCCATCCTGTAGAATTCAGCCATGTCCATTCTGCCAATAGCAGATCTGCCCTTCTTGGAAATTTCAGTCCTACGCTTCATTAATCAAGAACCTGTCAGTCACATTGGACTGTTTTTATCCTGAATTTGTAGCCTCTTCAAAAACCACCAACCAGTATTGAAATCAGCAAGTGTAAAATACTCAACTGACAACTCTCATAACCGGTATGACATTTCACAAGCCTATGCACATGTATGTAACATGCTTTTCATGACAAAAATTTTAAACACTTTTAATTCTGTATATTTTCTAGGAAAAACTGCAGTACTTCTTACCTAATCCGGAAATTACTGTTACTGTATGGAATTTTATCTTTGCTGTTCGGGTAGGTAGCACATAGGTGCTGCATTACAACTTAGCTGTTCAGTGGAGGAGATGCTATAAACAGAAGCCAGATGCTTCCTCTGAAAAGTTTTACCTCAACTAAGATAAGAGACAAACAGATCTGTAAGATGACAGTATTAAAAGAAGAAACATGTTTACACTATCCATATTATTCTATAACCAAATAGCAAGGACCCTACTGCAGCTCCTACTGACTGGTACTGCAATCTGACATCAGTGCTTATAATCTGCAAAGTGCTAAATGAAAGTAGCATCTGTAGGGCAGAAAACAGCAGTAACATGAAATGTTCTTTATTCATGTTTAGTCTGGAAAACACAACATCAGGAAACATTACAGCAGATTGAGAAACACATCATCAGGGATGTTACAGAATACAAAAGAGTCAGAACTAAAAATGAACTCAAGAATTGAGTTCATAAGCAGAGATGAGAAATAAACATTCAAAGCAAAGGTGTATAAAAATAGGCCTGTCAGAGGCTATTAAACTTCTGATCATCTCAGAAGCAGTTTCCTTCAGAACAAGGGGAGACCTAAAGATGTCCCTTCTGCTACAGTGGGGAAAAATGATCCGGACAGCGTGTCTTCCACAGCCTAACTGTAACGTTTTTGGGGGAGACAAAGACAGGAATGCAGATATGGGATCCTATCTCCCTTCTGTCCATGACATCACACACCAGGACGGCTCAGAGTACAATGCTTTGTGTCAGTGACCTGAAGTCTGATTCCAAGACTCTCCATTGGGCAGCCCACCTACACACTACAGTTTTGTCAAAGGAAGTGATCAAGAAACTTTCTGATGCCCTAGAGCTAAGCAATAAGCTGTTTCCATCACCAAATTTTTATTTGTCCAGATTAAAGTTTCTTTGCTTTCTTTTGTGTACCTTGAAAAGCTCAACTGTCACAATGTAAGCGGATTCTTGGCAGCAGATGTTTCCACTGCAAAAGACTTAAGAATAAATCTAAGAGGAGAAATGATTAGAATACAATGACATCTCTCCTAGAAATATTACATGCCCCAGAACTTAATAATAAAATATGGCCTGAGTGGATGAAAAATCTTCATATTCTTCCCCCTTCAAAACACTTTCTTCCTAAGGACCCTAAGCTGTATTGCTTTAGTTAACTTTTTATTGTTTAAAGGTTGTTTCAAGACATACATTTATAAAATACATGCCCCATTCTGAATTATCCTATAACCTCTCATTTCCAGGAACTTACTGTAAGACGTTATTATGTAGTTTGTTTTCTCACATCTCACTTAAGTATAAAAAGGAGGATGATCATAATTTATGTCAACGAATAAAAAAAAAAGACAGCATCTACAAGTTGTTCAACTCTTCCCTCATATTTGGTCTTCATTATTTCACATTTGAAACAGGACACAAAGTGTGCTTCTACATTTCAGTACCCTCTCCTGAAAACAGGTAATTGCTCGCACAAAAACGCTCACGCTGCACGCAGTAACACATCTACCTTTGGATTGCAACTGCTACTGAACACTTTCAGCTGGGTTAGTATGCTCCACTCAGTTTTTCAAACAATCTATCCAAATGTTACCAAATTCTGTCATATTTCCTCAGCCCCAAATGATTCTTAATTTTATTTCTGAAAGATTGTCATGCATTCTCTTTTGCTATCATCTATGGACATTAACTTTATGTCTGGAGTTACCGCACTAAACGGGAGGAATAAGTCAGGTCAAATCAGCAGAGATGTTTCACAAGTAAAGTCCATGCTGCTCAGTTTACTGGAAAATACAGTGACAATCGAGGACCTGGGAAGACTATATCAATTACTGTGTAATGTAAAATGGAAAGAGCTGTCTTCAACTGGTCTTTTTGAAGTCAGTGCACAGAACATTTGTTTAAATAAGCAAAATGTTCCTAAAGTAAGGATCAGCAGCACTCACTGCATAACACAACTGTCAGAGATTTCAGCTGGAAAAAAAAAATTACAGCCCAGTCCAGGAAGAAAACTGACATTCACTCACTTCACGGCATCAAGCGCTACATTAACTTGAAGCTCTTGCTCAATTAACTTCCAGTCACGGCTGTTGTTAAAAATGATGCCTCTGAAAAACGCATGGCATCGTCTACTGAATACAAAACGCATAACTGCCCAACAGCAGGAACGTGTAGCACAATGAATCTCTAGCTGACAAGCAGCACATCCACCTATGTTACCTTCGCTAAAAACAAAACAGGAAAAAACGTGACAAGTCTTTCTAGGGAACCACAATCGTACTTTAACAGACAACATGCAATGACACAGCAGAGTATATTAACAAGGTGTCACACCTACCAAGAACTGCCCATCGTTCCCAAAACACACGCTGACACAAGGCAACAGGCTATATGCTATTGTTCCACTGCTGATTTTTTTTTGAATTTGTCAAGCGTTTTTTTAAGCTATAGTAACCCAAATTCTTCATATAGGCCACCAGAATGTATTGCTTTTGGATGTACAGTCTAGAAATCCACTTTGCATAACAAAAATTCTGAAGGTCACATCACAGTAATCCGTGCCACTTTCAAATGTTATACAGCACTTTCATATTGTGTCCTGAAAAAATATAAAGCCATTTTTTCTCCCCAGTAACAACTCATCTAAGCCACAGAGTACTTTCCATAATAGCAGGAGCTGAACGCTCCATCTTCCATTGCCTTCCAGTTTAATTAAATGTTCCTCAAATAAATCATGTGTTTACATTCTTGTGACACGTTACCAATGATGACTTCTCCATTTACAAACCATCTGGTCATCACTGTTTATTGTACCTGCCATTCACCAGAAACTCCAGACTCTTTAAAACCATCTCTCTTGGGTCTCTGCTAGCTATTAATTTGATTTGTCTGTTAAACTGAATAAATTAGGTGAGGTACGTACCAACAGAGCTCTTTTAACTTGCTTATGTAGAGTGGCCAGGAGGCTGAGGATGGGACACCAACGTTCCTTGAACTGGAACTGCTAGAAAAATTGTAAATTACTAAGCAAGAATACATGTACCTGATCCAGTTTCAGCTTTTAATTAGAGCTGGAAAGTATTGCTTCAGGGAGTACAAAAAACCTCCTCTTTGCCCCAGAATATACTTGTGTACCCTGACTATATAATAATATATGTATTATAATATACATATAATAAATTGTATGTATATAATTTTATATATATAAACACACTGTTCAAGTGTCTCACTACCCTCACAGGAAAGAACTTCTTCCTAACATCTAGTCTAAATCTACCCTCTTCCAGCTTAAAACCATTTCCCCTTGTCCTGTCACTACCTGCCCTTATAAAAAGTCCCTCCCCAGCTTTCCTGTAGGCCCCTTCAGGTACTGTTAGGCCGCTATGAGATCTCCCTGCAGCCTTTTCCAGGCTGAAAAGCCCCAGCTCTCTCAGCCTGTCCTCGTAGGGGAGATGCTCCAGCCCTCATCATCATCACAGCCCTCCTCTGGACCTGCTCCGACAACTCCATGTCCTCCTTGTGCTGGGGGCTCCAGAACTGGGCGCAGTGCTCCAGGTGGGGTCTCATGAGATCAAAGTAGAGGGGCAGAATCACCTCCCCTGCGCTGCTGGTCACACTTCCAGCCAGGATAGGATTGGCCGTCTGGGCTACAAGCGCACATTGCCGGCTCATGTTCAATCTTTCATCAATAAACACTCCCAAATCCTTCTCAGGGCTGCTTTCAAGCTATTCTCTGTATCTGTGCTTGGGATTGCCCCGACCCAGGTGCAGGATGCTGCACTTGGCCTTGTTGAACTTCATGAGATTGGCTCGGGCCCACCTCTCAAGCCTATCTCTGGATAGCACCCTTCTCTCCACATGTCCGCTGCACCGCTCAGCTTGGTGCCACCTGCAAACTTGCTGAGGGTGCACCTGATCCCACTGTCCATGTCACCTACAGAGACGTTGAACAGCACCGGTCCCACCACCAATCCTCATCACCGAGTGTCACAAAACTTCTGAAAATAGTTCACAAGCATGTATTACTGATATTATGAAGCTAAGTATCTCAATGATTTGAACTAACAAAACATACAAGCGCTGGAGTTAAAACACCACTTCAACTGAAGGTCCTTAGCACTTCAATATCTGGCGAACTGTAGAAAATTAACTGGAAATAGATTACATCGTAGAAATCACTGTTTGGTTTCTTCAACTTTCTAATCCATTGTAATATGACAACCAGCAGACAATTCTGAAGTACTAAATTCTGTTTGAGAACAGCATCATTCCCTCAATTAAAGAAAACAAAGTCAATTATGTGCAGAACGTAGTTTAGTAACATTTAACTTCGTTTTCCTCAGGATGCTTAATATGATACACTCTTACATCAAGGAAATAAATTTTACAGTTTTTATCAGATCCAGTGACAATAGAAACCTCTTTTGCAGCAATCCATCAACACAACAGAAGTCTGCATGTCCTCAACTTTATCTTCCATCTGAATTGGTACAACTCAGTTAAAAGCTAGGAATTCTAGTGTAATTAGCTTTGTAATTTATAATTGCTGTTTACCTGAATGTACTCAACATCCCAGAAATTCGTAATTCAAGCAAGGCTTACAAATCATAAAGTTTCAAAAGAAATGATAAAATTTGAGGAGTAATTGTAACTATGCAGGAAAGTAAATTAAAATTAATTTTATCACCATCACATTAGAACTTACCCTTTAAAAAACACTTTCAAATTTTATTCTAATGATGGGCCTATGAAATAGAAAGAACACTACTTTCTTAAGGCAGGTACCAGTACATGCTGACAGTCACCCAGCTGGAAAGCAATTTTGCATAAGAGGACTTGGAGAACCTGGTGGACATGAAGGTAAGCCATAAGCCAGCTGTGTAAATATGAAGAAGAATGGGGAAAAATGCTTGGACAGACCAAATACAAATAAGGATCTGCTGAAATGATTTATTTATTTATTTATTTAAGGTTTCCTGGCATTGGAAACCCGCATTGACTCGCTCAGTAGCAAAGCCCTGATGTGTGAGGAAACTAGCAGCAATCTAAACCAGCATGTTTTCAATTCCTAAAGGGAGGGGAAAAAAATCACTGCATATCAATAGGTTTTTTGTGTTCCAACTTAAATAAATAATAAATAAATAATAAATAAATAATAAATAAATAATAAATAAATAATAAATAAATAATAAATAAATAATAAACAAATAATAAAAGGAGTGGGTTTGCTTTCCCACATTCACTGCCCTCATTCCTGTGCTGATTCCACTGACATTATGAAAAATATCAATGGATTTTCAGCTCAAACAGTTCACAGAATCCCAGAATCACAGAATTGTAGGGGTTGGAAAGGACCTCCAGAGCTCATCGAGTCCAACCCCCTGCCAAAGCAGGTTCCCTACAGCAGGTCGCACAGGTCGGCATCCAGGCAGGTCTGGAACATCTCCAGAGAAGGAGACTCCACCACCTCCCTGGCAGCCTGTTCCAGTGCTCCGTCACCTCACTGTAAAGAAGTTCTTGCGCACATTTGTGCAGAACTTCCTATGCTGCAGTTTCCAGCCGTTTCCCCTTGTCCTGTCTCCACTCACCACTGAAAACAGTCCGGCCTCGCCATTCTGCCCCCCACACCTTAGATATTTATAGACCTGGATCAGGTCCCCTCTCAGTCTCCTTTTCTCAAGGCTGAACAGACCCAGTTCACTCAGCCTTTCCTCATAGCAGAGATGCTCCAGGCCCTTCACCATCTTTGTGGCCCTTCCTTCATCACCATCTAGACTTACAATCAGTAGCATCAAAACTAGAACAGAAGGTGTAGGACTAACCTTTCCAGTGATAGCATAGGGCTCTGTTGGATGGCTGCACCAGTAGAAACACAGCTGCAGTATCTCAGGAGCAAGTGGGCTTCTACATTCTCATCATTCATAGAGTCCTACTGCTCATCTGCAAGATAAAGATGAACACTGAATGAATTGTCTCTAGTCTCTCTTCTCTTCCGTGGCTTCCAAGATGCCTAACTGCACACAAAACACAATCTAGTCAAACTAACCTTGTTGTTAGCAGTCAGCCTAAGTACAATTTTTAAAGATTACTTAAAATAGGTGTCTTGAAATCTTGAAAAGAGAACAAATCCATTCTCCTGTAAGACAGAAACTGCAGTTTAACACAATGCCATTGCTCATGAACAACAGAATCACTGCAACACTGCACAGTTCTTTACAGTTTCATTGCAATTCTAGGGGCCTTAATTGGAAAGTATAGCAAGCAAATGGCACGTGCTCAACTTCTTCAGAGCCCTTGGGCTAGTAATGCAGGTATAGCTGATACTAAATCCAAGTTCAGCAGAAACTGCAAATAAATAAAATCTCTTCAAAACAGAAAACAAATGGCATAAGTAAACAGATTTCTCAGACACCGATAAGTGATTCATACACAGCAAATACTTCTGTTGAAGGGCTCCAGGGTCCTCAGAAGCACTTTATGTCACTTCATCTCAATTAACCTTCCAAGAAAGCAATTCAGATCCAAGAAGGAGAGAGAAAAAGAAGACAATTACTGACAACACAGTCTACTCTGATGTCATAGTACCGTATTGCTTGAGTCACAGACTGATTTCCTGGAATTCAGTATTAAAGCAAGAAAATAGAGAGAGGAAAGTATTGACAGAAGAAAACCCACCTACTTTGAATCAGAGAAGTTATTTCAGCTGTTGGCTTAATACCAATTAAGTTATTATTGCTGATAAGATTTAAAGCTTACTGAGCTGTACTGTAACATGTTATTTGGTTTCAAAACATTCCCCCAACTTAACGTACATGTGCTGCAAATGAAGAAAACAACAGTTCCATGTAGCAGAAGTGCTAAGTCACAGCCTGAAATAGTGATTGAGCACCTGGTGGAAGGCAGGGCCAATCTAGAGGAGCTCAGGTGTATGCAATGTACCTGAGTGATAGGAAGGAGTGGAGCCAATATTTAAGGGTTGGTAATGAAGCCATAGGGATCTTGCTGGAGTTCCCTGCCTGTGTAGGGTCTTCTAATGGTAAGTAGTTTTTCTTTGTTTCTGTGTTTATAGCTGCTGCATTTAGGTTTACGCTCATTTGTTGTAGCTGAAGACTTTGCTGCTCTCTATTATTGCTGTACTTTTCATCATGTTATAGTATGACAGTCTAATTTTCTCACAGTATTTCTTCTGTATCACAAGGTGCTTTTCTATAGTTCCAAAGAAGACAACTTGCTGTAAGCTTCTAGCTGCTACTGTTTTTTCTGGCATTGTTGTTCTAGTACCACCTTCACGTTGCAGTTCACAGGTCAGTTATGTTATTCTGAGACATTTCTTTATTGCTGTTTTACTTTCTGACTGTCCTACATCATATTCTACACATAACCAGAAAGTATTCTAGCTCTAGAGAAGTGATCGAAAAGACAAATCTCAAGGGTTATTGCAGCTATGTGAAGGTCTCTAGAGTTCTAGTAACACAAAAAGCTTCTTAATAGTGAGACTACCTTAAATATAAAGTATATGAATTGCAAAATGTGTAACCTTAACTAAACCAGATGCTCTATCAACTTTCCTCTCATTCCCAGTCTTCCATTTCACTTCCACTTCATGTTCCCAGAATGGTTCTGCTACTTCTTTCCTACACTGTGCTACCTCAAATAACTGCATCAAGAATGCAGGTATTAGCAGGGCTATCAGAGGAGCTGCATGGAGATAGTCCAAAGTTTCATCTTTATGTACTAATGATCGCAGCTCTGTTCTACACCATGGCAGACCTGCTTTTGCTCGAGAGGCTCCATGCAGCACTTTTCCATCCCAATAACAACTTGTTGGAGGAAAAACTAAGACATGTAACTAGAATTAAAAAGTCACACCTTGTTAAATGAAGGTATACATCTTAAGTTGGATCTTGCTTTACAGTTGATCCTACTCTGCTCAGGGGTTAGATGAGATGACCCCAAACTTTCCCCAATATAAATTAGGCTATAATTCTATAGAAAGAGAATGCGAGTGTTAAAAGTTAGCTGAATAGGACCCAGGCTTTGTGACAAATTGCTATGGTTTTGGACAGAAGTAAAATGTTTTCCTTGCTCTTTATTTCTAGTTAAACATACCAAAGATGATGCTATCTACATATGAGGTTCAAGAGCAGCCTTTGGGGAAAAATATTTTTCTCTTATTTGTATGCCCGCTTCCCACATCCTTTCCACTGTCAATGCTTCCCAGAATACCCCCCCGTACAGATTGTGTGGCTCATTTCAATAAGCTCAGCTTACCAAATGAGCCATATACCTTTCTGGTTATCCTGTCCTCTGACTACCCTTACTGATTGCCTGAGTACTTGCTGGTAATTGATGTGCCAGCAGCTTATCACACACTGTTGATTCAAATGTTCAACAGCCAAATGCAGTTCACCTTGGTAAACATGTACTTTAAACTGTCCTCTTGAATAACCAGTCTCTTTCAACAGCTATTAAACAGCAGTGAGCAATAGTTTTTGTTTAACCACAGAAGGTGCCTAAAGAAGGGTAGTTAAACCTAATGTTGTGTAATGTGAACAAAATCTGAAATTCAGCCCCCTTGCAGAATTGTATGTGTGTGACTCTTCAAAAACAATTTCATTGGCTAAATCTCTGATCGCAAAGAACGAAATACAGTTTGAAAGCAACTGATCCTGCCCACCCCTCCAAATCAAAAAGAACAAACTGACCCATGATTAAAGCAGTGATCTTATGCAGGGATCTGGAGTCTACTGCCAGCTTAAGATGACTGTCAGCTGAGGAAGCTCTCTTGCTCATCCTTAAAAACTGGCACAGTATTATATATGTTAGCATTTCAAAAAATGCTAAAAAATAACATAACAAATCTCTCCAAGGAATTATGCTAGGATTCCTGGATGCAAGTTCTCTCTTCCTGCTTATTTACAAGTAATTCTCCCATAGTTCAGCAACTCCATCTGTTAGTAATATGTTAAGCAATCTCTCATATGATACGCACTCTTCTGTTTTCCAAATATTCCCATTTTGTTCTGTATTTTTTCACCGTTTTTACAGTTTTAGTACGCCAGAACTATGAAGCTACAACACTGAAGTTGCATTAATGCCCTTAAGAACAAGGGCAGATACTCTTTAGCACAGATTAGAGAAGCTTTCATTGGTGCCATTCTTGTCAGCAGACCTGTTTCTGTACCTGTACAGTGTCTGATTTCTAACATGAGCTCTTCACCCAGTTCTCATACTCCAACAGAATAAGCAGGTTAGTTTTTCAATCATAAATCTATTTTTTCTTTGACTTCTTTACTAATGAGAGGGCTGGATATTAACAGCTGGGTGATTATACATCACTTTGGAACTGGACTACTGTTTTGACAGTGACTGGAAGTCTGCTTAAAGGTCACCTGATTAGGAAGGCCAAGTGGATGAGGCCCTCTATAAACAGATAGGAGCAGCTTCGCGCACACAAAACATGGTCCTCAGGGGCCTTCAACAACCTCAGTATCTGTTGAAAGGACATCTCAGCAGTGCACCAGGCATCAAAGAGGTTCCTGGAATGTGCTGACAATAACCTCCTCTTCTGAGTAGTACAGGAACACCTGAGAAAAGGTGCTATGAGAGCCTTGCCCTCACTGAGGAGGAGCTGGTGAGTAATGTGAAGCTCAAGGAAAGCCTTGGCTATATTGTGACCGTGAAATGGTGCAATTTGAAATCCTGAGGGTGCGAAAGACGTGCGGTGAGCCTGCTACTCTGCACTCAGAGCAGGCTTTGAACTTTTCAGGGAGCTGCTTGGCAAGGTGACACGGATGGGGAAAGCCTTAGAGGCAAGATGGGCTCAAGAAAGCTGGTTGGTGTTCAAGGGCCATCTCCTCCAAGCCTGGAAGCAGTGCATCCCAAGAAAAAGGAAGGCAGGTGAGAATTCTGGAAGGCCTCTGTGGATCAACAGCGAGCTCCTGGACTGACTTTGGCTCAAAAAGAAATAAAGAAATTTTATAGGGGAGTGGAAGCAGGAACAAGTTAACTGGTATGACAGCAAACAAGCTGTCTGAGCAGCCGGGATCAGGTTAGGAAAGCAAAACCCAGACAGAATTAAATCTAGCCAGGGACATCAAGAGGAGCAAGAAGAAATTCTACAGGTAAATCAGTGATAAAAAGGAAGTTGGGGAGGATGTGGGCCCTCTCTGGAAGGAAACTGAAAACCTTGTCATGGGGGATACAAAGAAGGCTGAAGTGCTCAATGACCACTTTGCCTCGGTCTTCACCAATAAGGCTCTAGCCACATCACCCAAGTTGAAGAAAGCAGTGATAAGAACTTGGAGAAGACAGATCTACCTGCTCTAAGTGAAGATGATGTTCAAGACCATATAAAGAACCTGAAGGCGCACAAGTCCATGGGACTTGCTGAGATCCATCTCCAAGTTCTGAGGGAACTGGTGGATGAAGCTGCCAAGCCATCACATTCCAGAGGTCACGGCAGTTTAAAGTTCTCACTGACTAGAAAAGGGGAAGCATAAGAAATGTAACTTCCCCCCCTTCTCAAGAAGGGGGGAAAAAAAACTCCAAAGAACTGCAGGCCAGTCTGTCTCACCTCTGTGCCAGGGAGCAGAGCCTCCTGAAGGCCCTACTAAGGCACATGTATCTAATACAGCCTATTTTAATAAGTACTTCTGAAGAAGTTGCCATCAAATTTCAGTTGATTAGTCAATTTCAATTCAACTCATTTCTGCAGGTAAGAATGCTAGTGGAAAGAAATGGCTGTCTCCATGGGATGAAAAGTTTGAGAAGAGTACCCCCAAAGAACAAAAGTTCCCTGCTCAAGACCCTGACAACTGCATCACGGAGCTGATACAGATTTCTTGGTAACCTTTCTCACACCTGTTAGACAATCTCCTGTCTTTTGAACACTGTTCACAGTTTGTGAGAATTTAATCTTCAATCTTGGTGCAAATTAAGTGTAAGTAGTTTCCTTTCATTTTAGGATCACGTGGTTTCCAAGCTGTTATTTTAACAATGTTCTGGCAAACTCTAACAAGTAATAGCAGGAGCTGCATAACTGTTGTGCACAGAGAATCCAGGCACCAGTGGAAGAAAAGCTTTTATTATTTGAAGGTTTTACAGTGTAAAATTATAAGACAACCTCTAATCATGCT